ATCTGAGAGGTAAAAAAACACTACTAAACTATATTCTAATTTAAAATTAAATCAGTAGTGGACCAGCCTGACAGCTTATTGAATTTGGGCTCCAGGCTGCTTGCAGCCTCAGGCAGAGAGAAGGAACTATACTGACTGAAAACATTGACTTAGTGGAATCTGTAGCTTAAAGGAGAGTTCAAAATTACTTGTAAGGTTGATGAAAAGACAATGCCTTGAAAGTATGTCCCTGAAGCATATTCCATTTGTCAGTGTACTTGTAGCTGAGCTGATACTGCTTATGAAAATAATTGCTACTGTGTTCTCAAATATCCTATGAGGAGCCTTAAGTCATTTCTAAACCAGAGAGTTTGAGTAAGGAACTTTTGGTTGAATGAATTGGATCCATAAGAAAAAGATTTGATTTTTGTTTATCATCCAGTGTATTGTTTTGAGCAGTGATAGAGCCACGTTTCTACACAACAGTTTGTATGGGATAATGTTCTATATGTTTGACTGAAAACAGTGTTGATAAACGGGAATATTTTTGTTACTGCTAGCCAAGCCCTTTTCTGCTTCTCACCCCAGCAGTGAGAAGGTTGGGGGTGCACAAGGAGTTGGGGGGACACAGCCAGGACAGCTGACCCCAGCTGACCAGAGGGATATTCAAGACTATGTGGCATCACGCTCAGCTGATAGGGGGAGAAAGGTTGGCCAGGCTGCTGGACTTTGGAACTGTCTGAGCATTGTTGGGTTGCTGATGAGCAATTAAATCTTATTCGCATTATTCATTTTTCCTTGCTTTTATATCTTTGTCTTCTTATTTATTTTTTCCTTAAAGAAACCCCCAGATTCCAAAACTCTCTTTATCATGGCCCATGGGATATTTCACTTTTATCCTTCTTATTTTCTCACAATATCTACTGGTTGGAAGAGTGAGTGAGCACCTGTGTGATATTTAGCTGCCTACTGGGGTTAGACTCTGGCATGTAGGTTTTCTGAGATTGAGATTAATACCAGGCCACAAAAGTAAATTTTAACTGCATATTCATTGCTGTGAGTATTAATCTGCTATTGTATGCAGTCTGAAGGTTGTAAGCATTGTTAAAAATTTAAATATTTTTGGTGTTAATCTGCCCATAGAGGCAAGAAAAAAATTGTGACAGCAGTATGTTGTTTCAGTTATTTAAATTGAAATATTCCTCTCATTTTTGGGATTGTGTACCTTTCTTCTGTTAACTGAAATGAAGTAATCTCTTTGCAGTCCTGAGCAGTGGTGCTTAGCAAACTAAAAACACTCCATTCTAATTATTTTCTTTTTTAATCCAACTGCACTTATAAGCTTTCAATACTTGCAGAAGAAAGAGATGTAGAATACTGGTTCCATGTAAAGAATATTGGATAATACATTATAAAAGAATTTGAATACTTTTCTTGAAACATTTATTTGTGTTGAAAAGGGGAGTGATTTTGTTATGATTCAGAAATAGTCAGTTATGGGGGAGGGTGTGAAGAACATGAGTTGGTTTTAAGTTTTGCCCATTTGACAGCCAAATGAATTCATATACTTCTGGAAATAAATGCAGATTTTTTTTTTTTTTAAGATGATAACCTAGAAAACAGTAATTGTATCAGTATAACATGCATTCCCTTTTCAAACTCTGAAAAGAGAATGCATATAGGAGAAAATTCATGTAATTAATAAAAATGTAATTCATGGATATAAGAGAAAAAAGAGCAATTGAGGAGGATAAAGGATTTATTTTTCTTTCTATGTTAGGTGTTGAGATTGGGTCCATTCCACCTTCTTGCCCAGTCCTCTCTGGGCCCCCTGGCCGTATTCTGCCGAGCTTTTTCCTCCTATGTAATAGGCCTGTGGTAAGAAGTCCCTTTCCTGCTCTCTTGTAGCCCCACTTTAGGTACTGGAAGGTGCTGTAAGGTCTTCCTGGAGCCTTGTCCAGGCAGAACAGCCCCAGCTCTCCCAGCCTGATTTCACAGGTGAGGTGCTCTGGCCTCAGATCACCTTCATGGCCCTCAGTCATGCACTGCACAGCCCAAGAGGGCTGCTGCTCTTGTCACTGGTGCACAGGATGTGATGGAATTGAGGAGATAGGAGCGAACAAAAGGTAATGGAGAGGAGACTAAAGAGAGGTGACCAGCTTTCAGTGGGTGAGGACAGGATCCTGCCAGCATCCGTCTGAGCAGGAAATTCCAGTCCTACATGTAGCTCTGTAAATCAGTTTGAGATTTTTTTAATGTAGTATTGTGGTCAAGAACATGGATGTTTTCTGTAACTTAAACATACAGTGCTAGGTTGTGAGCACATGCAGGCATGCATCTACTCTAATCTCAAACACTTACATCTGGAAAAACAGGGATTTTTTTTTTTCATTTTTCTAAATTCATGGAAGAGGACAAGTTGGTTAGGATTTGGTCTAGATACTGAGGCTTTGTGTGCTCCAGCCTGTAATTTGGTGTCTCTAGGGAGTGGTGTCCTTAGTGCAGTGTTGGTAGAAGTAGAGGAAGCACACCACTCTGTCAGTGTTTAAGGCAGTGCCTGTTAAAGGTAGGATCTACCTCTTTGCGAACTGTGTGTTTTATGAGACAATCTCTCCTATATTTTAATAGCTCTGGTAATCCAAAATGCTTTCCTGTTCACAATCCTTTTGAGGAATTCAGGTGATTGCAATATTTTTTCTGGAAGCATGGATGTGTATGTATAAACATTTCCACCCAGCAAACTGAATAATTAGCTAATTTGCCCTATACCTTAGTTATTTATTCACTGGTGCATTGCTTCTCTAAGACTGGTCCATTTTACAGAAATGCATCATCGGGGACTATTGGTGTGCTTTGAACAGGTCTGCTAAATTGACCTGAAGCAATACCTACTCCTTAGGCTGAGCTAGCCTGGAAGAAATACCTGATAGAGGATATTGTGTTTCACAGCTTCAATGTCTTGAAGGGTTTCTTGTAAATGGTTTCTGCATTCATGTGGCTAAATGCTGCTCAAGTGCATGCCTCCATCTCTTTATTTTTGAGATATTTTGTATTTAGGTAGAAGTTAGCCTCTCCTGAAAAGCAAATGTGACATCCGTACCTCCAGTAAGTGGTGGAAGCTTTCACTGTCTTGATGGGATAAGTCTCCCCCAGGACAGAAGAATAGTAACTGCCTGCTCTGTCTTCTAGAAGCAGTTGAATATGTGATGAGAGGCTCTGTATGTGAGAGCATTATTTGGAACAGAAAATGTAGTGCATTAAACAGATTTTGCATGTTGTGAACATCAGTTTTATAAAAAATGAAATATTTGCATTCAGAGAGCTTGACTCTGTTGAGTGGACATCTGTTTTTGAACAATGCTGATGTTTTAGAGAACAAAATGAAATTAAGAGTTATGTAATTTTGTTGTATTTTTACCTTGTTTGTTTCAACCACTTCTCTGTTCAAGAACAGATTTTTGCATTGCTATTCTGATTTACTAATTTAGCTGTTGGATTTTATTCTACAGATTTGCATGAGGCTGCTAATTATCAGTTCCCTCTGGCAGTCTGCTGACCAACCATGCTGTAATGAAGGGAAATTTCAGAATTGTCAGAGCTTGGTTGAAAAGAAATAACTTGCTGGTTGATTTAATAAAGATATTAACTACTGGCTGACTAGATAGGAAAATGAAATGTCAGTCCTGTTTTTTCTTGCACTAGTTGCCAGGATTTTTGTTTGGCAAAGATGTCAAGAGTTTTCACCTTTCTGAAGATTGCAGGAGTGGTATAGTTAATAACAAAACAAGCGTTTTAGGTTCTGATTTTTAATGTAGGATAGGCAGATCTGGACAAATACTAAAAAATATTTCCAGGGAAAATTATGTGTAATCAAACTACATAGAGCTTTATAGATGAATCATGAAAAAAATGCCTCAGCTACCTGCTATTTTTTTTTTCTGCCAAGGTTCAATCTCTTTCATATGTGTCTGCCCATAGATACTCTGTTTTTAAGTGTAATGAAGAGATTAGTTGCACAGCCAGGAAATAAAAAAAGCTTCCTATTTTTCTAAGGTTCATAATACTCTATATTAATGGTTGCAAACTTAATCTTCCTTGTCTTTAATGTTAACTTTTTAATTTGGTGAGTTTCAAGAACAGAAACTTTTAAAATCCATATCTAGTAAAGATTAAAAGTGACTTAGAGGGACACAACTCTATAGCTGAAATAGTGAACTTCTAATTGCAGTTGTACCAGCAACAGCTTTTGGGCATGAACTCTTGTGTTAGATTATTAATACCTGATAATACTGCTGAATTAAAGTCTCTCTTTATTAAAATATTGCAGCCTTTTTCCACAGTTCCTCAAGTTCCTTTTTACTCCTTATGCTATATTTTCTTGGTAAAAGCTGTAAGTTTCATTAATAAGAAAAACTACTGCAAGAAGAAGCAAAGTGTGGGCTATGCTTTGTATGGCCATGCCTTAACATACTACCTCTAGCAGTAAGAATAAAGCCTTCTCCCTGGGACTTTCATTTTAGAAAGTGTAAATTGATTAATTATACTTTTCCACTCACAAAGATAAGCTAGCTAGGGTTTCCTGAATTGTGCTGTTTTACCTGAAGGATTTTCCATTGCAGTGCTTGCAAATCTTTTCTGCAAGCTGATATATGTGTTGCGTCACCTTTATGAACAGAGTGAAAAAAAAAACCCATAAACCTGTGACATCTGGGATTGATTTAAAAAAAACCAAACAACTATTAAGTCTCTGTTATGTTCTAAAGACACGTTAAGATGGGGACACAGTGTTTGCCAGTATTATTTAGTGTAGATGAAAACTCAGTTACATGCTTTCATAATGGATGGGCCCAGAGCACTCTATGTTCTTAATAATCACATTGTAAATGAAGCTTAAGACTTCAAAGAAATAGAGAAGTCCTTGGTAAAAGAGTATATCAAAGTGTTAGGGAGGAGGGAAACTGCAAAGATATGTTGTTTAACAAGTATCTCTGTCTTTTTCTTTCCCCCATAATCTTGTGTAGCAATGGGCCAAGGACTTGGCAAAACTGCCTGGCCCAAACCTGCAGGAGGATATCAGACTATTACAGGTGAAAGAAAACATTCCTTTCTTGGGCTTAGACCATTTTTGAATAATCAAGACAGAGATGGACATCAACAGAATGACAACTGCAAACAATTAGAATTGGAAGATGTTCAGAAAGAGAATTCCTCATGTATGTATGTACATATCTTTGGGTATGTGCTATTTCATTGCAAACTGGGGTGCTTGGGGCTGGAGGAGAAAGGCACATTGAGAGCCATATAAGGGGCTCATGTTATTGAGCCACTTAAATAACATGAAAGTATATTTCCTATGTCTTTATTTTGCTTTTATACTAAATTTCATTCTATAAAGTATAAGTAATCTAATAAATCTATATTAGGCTATGTAGTTTTGCCTGAAGAACATTCATCATGTGTTCTAACAAACTAGAAAACAATAACATTGTTTAGTTCAAATTATTTTGTCCAAATTAAAATTCACATTTGGAAGAAAATGCCTATTCTAACCTTCTGTTTAGAATGAGGCTGTGAAATATTTGATGCATCATGAACCAGGTTGTTCTTTGTCAACCATAGCGAAAATTAGTTGAAGCCTCTAAAACATCTTTAAAAGTTTTTTTTTTTTATTTGTGTATACCAGTTAGACCCTTTCTTGTTTAATGAGTACTGGATGTTAGTATTTACCAAAATGCCTTCTGTGACATTATCATCTGAATAATAATTTAATAGAGGAATACAGAACGCCTTCTTGGATTAGAAATATGGTCCCATGTCTTTGCCTGAGGTTTTCAGCTTAAAAAACCTTATTTGATACAACCTTAGATCTTCAAAAGTGCCTGGGGGGTAAAAGACTTGGGCATGCTTCTCAACACTGGCTGAGTGTTTTGTCAGCAATAATGTGGCAGCAGAGCAGTGACAATCTGCCTGTGCTGAGCACTGGTTAGGTTAAAGCTCAAGTGCTGTGTCCAGTTCTGGGCTCTTCGGTTCAGGAAGTACATTGAGGGGCTGGAAGGTGTCCAGAGAAGGGCAGCAGGGCTGGGGGAGGGACTGGAGTACACGTCAAATGAACAGCAGCTGAGGGAGCTGCGGGTGCTCAGTCTCAAGTAAAGGAGGGTCAGAGGATCTTCCTGCTCTGTATAATTGCCTGAGAGGAGGCTGGAGCGAGGCGGGTGTGGTTCTTTCTGCCCAGGAACAAGTGATGGAGCAAGAATAAATGGCCTCAGATTGCACCAGAGGAGGTTTAATTGGCTGTTAGGTAAAGTATCTTCACCAGAGGGTTTGCCCGTCATTGGAAGAGGCTGCTCGAAAAACTGGCAGTTGCCAGTTCCTGGTGGTTCTTAAAAGGCATGCATACAAAGTCTAATGGTGGACTTGGCAGTGCTAGATTTGTGGTTGCACTTGATACCTTAGTGGTCTTTTCCAGCATAAGTGATTATATTGCTCTACAAGGCAGGTTTGTTTTTTTTTTCTCCTGCCTGTATAGACTGTTTTGAAACTGCTTTCTTATTCTAATTTTTTCTTTTAAAATGATAATGGTATAGTGCTGTCTTAGCTTTGTATTCAATTGTTTTTGTAATCTGTTAGGTGATGTAGATCATCTTGGGGTGGTTTTAATTTTTTCTAATTGAAGTGTGTTTACTGTTGTCCATGCTTCATACATTTTCTATCCTTCCATCTCGTTAAAGGTCTGTTTCCTGTAAGGCAGTATTGATGTTAATGAAGTCTCTATATAATGCTACCACATTTGTTGTTTCAGTTATACAGATATGCATGCAGTTATTTTATGGATCATTAGATATATGCAGTTTAAGGGTGTATTCTCTCCCTGTTCCTGATACAGTTGCTTTGTATGTACATTAGTTTAATAACAAGATGCCTTTCCTTTACATTTGTTTGTGTCTATATTACAACTCTTCAGATTTGTCTTACAGAACCATTTTGGATTTATTCACTTTCTCTGTCTCCAGGAGGCTATATTTTTCCCTGGCTGGAATTATATTTTGGATTTATTTACTTTCTTTGTCTCCAGTAGGCTATATTTTTCCCTGGCTGGATAGGTATTACCTAAAATGCTGCATATTTTCTGAATTAGAAGGCACTTACAAGAATCATTGTGCCCAATTCCTGGCCGTAGAACATCCCCAAGAATCACTCTTGTGTGCCCAGGAGTATTGTCCAAACACTTCTTGAACTCGGTCAGGCCAGTGCTGCAACCACTGCCCTGGGGAGCCTGTTCCAGTGCCCAAACACTCTCTGGGGCAAGAACCTTTACCTGATACCCAACCTAAACCTCCCCTGACACAGCTTCAGGCCATTCCCTTGGGTCCTGTCCCTGTGCTCCCCAGAGAAGAGACCAGCATCTGCCCCTCCTCTGCCTCTCTAGGGTTGAAGACCCCAGTGAGATCTCCCCTCTGTCTTTTCTTCTCCAAGATGAAAAGACCAAGTCACCTCATCTGCTCCTTGTGTGGCTTCCCCGTTTTGTTTCTTCACCATCTTCATGGCCCTCTTTTAGACATTTTCTAATATCTTTGTATCTCACATGGTGGTACCCAAAACTGCCCCCAGCACTTGACATGAGGCTGCCCCAGCCCAGAGTGGGACAATCTCCTCCCTTGCCCAGCTGGTGATGCTGAGCCTGATGTCCCCAGGACAGGGCTGGCCCTCCTGGCTGCCAGGCCACTGCTTATACATGTTGAACTTGCTATTGACCAGGGTCCCCTGTGCTGCTCTCCAGCATCCCATCTTAGTGTCATCAGCAAACTTACTTAATGCACCTTTGAGTCCTGTGTCTTAGTTGTTCATGAAGATCTGAAGAGCACAGGGATGAGGGTGGAGCCCTGTGGAATTCCACTAGTGGTAGGTCACCAGTGAGATTTCACTCCATTCACTGTTACCTTTTGTACCTGACTTGTGAGCCAGTTACTCACCCATCACATGATGTGTTTATCCAGTTGTGTGCTGGGTGTTTTGTCCATAAGAAGCCTATGTGAGGCAGTATCAAAACCTTTGCTAAAATACATAAAGATTACATGAGAAAGTTTCCTTGATCCAGTAGCTGGGATACCTTGTCATAATAGGTTTGACAAGCAGAACTTTCCCCTCATGAATTTGTGCTGGCTGTGGCCAAGGGCTGCATTTCCTTCAGGTTTTTCACTACACCAGAATAGTCATGTCTGTAATTTTACCAGTCACTGAAATGGACTGTAGCAGCATGTGGCTGACTGACAGGCCTGCCTTTCCCATGTCATCCTTTCCCTCCTTGAAAACTGGGACAGCATTAGCCATGGTTCAGTCAGTTGGGACCTCTACAGATTCCCTGAACTGTTCAAAAATCATTGAGAGAGGCCTTGCTGTGATATCAGCGGACTAGTTGACTATCCTCAGATGAATCCCGTCAGGCCTTATAAACTTACAGCAGGAGCAGCAGATCCCATGCATGTTCAGGATTGACTGGGAGTTGATAATTTTCCAGCTCAGGTACCTGGGACCTCCTTGGACATCCTCTCTTCATCAGTGTTGAAGATGGGCAAAGAAATCATGTAACAACTCTGCCTTCTCTCTGTCCCCATCTGTGTGGTGACCATCATCCTGTAATGGGCTAATGTTATTCCTGCACTGCCTTTGCTACTGACATACTTAATAAAACTTTTTGTTAAGTCCCCCATGTTTCTGGCCTCCATCAACCCCAACTGAGCTTTGCCACATTGATTTTTTTTCCCTACAGTGGCAGCAGCATCTCTTCCTCCCATGTCACCTAACTTTTCTTCCACTGGCCATACACCTTCTTTTCTGGCTTTAGCTTGAAAAGATGATCCCTGGTCATCCGAGCCAGCCTTTTATCTCACTTTCTTGACTTCCAGCATTTTTGGAATTGACTGCTCCTATGCCCTTGGGATGTGGTCCTTAAAAATGACCAGCACTGACCCCGGCAGCTTCCAGAGCATTTTCCCTGGATCTCACTAACTAGTTCCCTGAGCAGCCTGAAGTCTTCTTATGTCTTTAATTGAATTTTTTACTTTTTTCTTCATTCACCAGAGACTTTGATCTCTATCACTTCATGTTCACTGAGGCCAAGACTGTCACCAATCTCCATATGGGTCATGAGACCCTCTGTTATCAAGCAGTAAATCAAGGAGGGCACCTTTCCTAGTTGACCCCTTTAGTACCTGTACCCTAAGTTACCATCCTGGTGCTTTAGGAATCAAAAAAACTGTAGAAGATGAGTAAGAGGAGATAATACTGACAATATTAAAAACATGACTGGATTTGATCCTTGGTTACTTACTATATATGACTCTGCTTGAGCAAGAGTAATGGAGTAGGTGATCTGTAGAGGGGCCCGCCAACCAGCCTTGGCTCATAGCAATTTTGTGGAGGAGCTTCAAGATTCTAATTAGATACAGTATTATTTCCTAGAAGCCAGATTCCTAGTGCTGAAGAGCATAGCTGTCATAAGATTCCAGTGCCTGGAATTCACCAATCTAGTAATGGAGCCTCATCTAATGATTTAGATGAGATTCTGGACAAAATAGTTTGGACTGTTGCTTTGGTTAGGAGTTTAAAAATTACTTGAAAAATACTGATTTTGTAGTAGCAGTAGTATCCATGTTTTTACCTTCTTTAACTCTTGCTGCTAGAATTGATGTTTATTGCTATTTTATGCAAGAGGTGTTCAAGTGTAATATATCTAAAATACATTTGTGATGAAGCAACTATTATCTGTAATAGCATATTCAACCCTGCTATTTTCTTCTTATGAGGAGTTGCACTCAAAGGTGCAGGTAAAAAACAGTTATTTTAGTATGTAATTTATAGTAGCAATAAGTGACTTTATCTGAGTGTGGCAGAAGGCACAATTTAGCTAGTTAATGGATAGTCCAATATGAAGAGAGAAGTTCTTTTGGCTTTCCTGTTATCTTATAATTCCCTTTTATATAAACAATGTAAAAAATCTGCTTGTGTATATATTCCTTTAATACTTTTTTCCCTATAACATGTGTAGCTGGAATTTTAATTTTAAATTTAGATCTATTTCTGTAGGCTTAGTTTGTATAAATGAGAAGGTATTATTGAAGAATGCCTACATCTCTACATCTCTGATAAATGTTTCTGTCACTTTGTACTGCAGTCTTAGTAAATTATTCCTTCTTTTTAAATGAGGAGTTGTTGTAGACAAGAATATTTCTGTTGGTTTTGGTTATTCCAGTGCATTCTTTCTTACAGCTTTCTGTGAAGATTCTAGTCCATTGGTTCAAGTTTCTACTGAACCTTTGTCAAAAGATGCTGATATTAGAGAACCTGTTTGCCAAAGTGCATCAAGCCAAACATCACCAATTTCTGTATTCAGTTATGGCCTTGAAGGCAACCAAATCTCACGGGACTTGATGAATCCTTATGAAAAATCTGAGGACCTTGCAGAATGCACATCTGGAGGGCATAATGATTTGGATGGTAAAAATGGAATTGCTTTTGTAAACATTGACTCCTATGAGCCGGATAGCAGTGATGGAGATGAAGAGGGTGTTCTAGACGAATGTTCTTGGTTAAGAGAAGCAGCAGATCTACTTCAGGAAAGACTAGATAACTTACTTTCTCAGTATGAAAAAGACATGGAGTCTATTAATGACTTAGAGTCCCCACTGTCTGCTTTAAACCACAGCATTTCTAGAGAAAGTTGCGAAGAAGGAGGACCAATGCCTTTGGCATGTCCAAACAATAGGACACTTAAATCTGCTGAAGATGAAGCTGCACCAAAAATTAGCCTGAGTTGTGAAACACAGCAGACAAAACATATAGTGGATGTTGGAATTGGAACCCCTGTACCTGATGCTGATGTATTAAACATTGTTGATGGAGACACTGACCAAGAAAATTCATCTGAGCTGGTAGTGAGACCTAAAATTAGAACACAAAATACTGCTAAACAACTGGAGAGAGAAAATCATCTCTCTAGTGATGATGAAGAGGAAAATAATTCCTGGAGGAGAATTGGAATTGCTGATGTCCAGCAGTGTCATCCTGAGTGTCCCTTGAGAGATGGCAAAGATGAGATGAGTTCTGGTGCTTTCTTTCTCTCAAGAATGCACAGTCATCGAAAGAACATAGAAATAGACTTAAGAAGAAATTCACTAGCTCGAGAGCAAAACAATGTTCTAAGTGACAGTGTTTTTTGGAATGAGTTAGAAGACCACGACACACATTACATAATGCCTCACAAAGATGAAGACAGGTAAAAATTTTACTTTTTATATCTGTTTTAGTATTGAATCTTTTCTGTAAATAGTGTGATAAACTGAACAATATGTTAGCAAATGAGACATAAAAACTTAAGGCATTTCAGAATATGATCAGCTAACAAGATGTCAACTTTTCCATTCAGTTATCCTTCACTCTTCTGGTAATGTAAAAAGACTTATGTCTGTAGTCAGAGCATCCTATCGTGAAGAATATTACTTGTTTATTTTTATTTCATTTTTACTGAGCAGATGGAGGGTAAAGACTGAAAGCCTTGTTCAGCTTTAAAAGTTTCCTTCTAGGCTTACTCTTGAGAATTTGGGTAATTTTGCTTCCAAATCTCAGTATTCTGCATGACAGCCTATTTAGGTTCTTATTTCCAGCCTTTTGAAAGAAATTGTTCTTCATTTTAATATCTGAAGAATAACTTGATAGGGTTGCTTATAATCCCTTTTTAATGGAAATTGTTCAGACTACTAGATGTTTCCAAAGTAGCTATTAATTGTGACAGTTTTAGATTTACAAATTGCTCCAACCTTGACACAAGAAGCAATGTTCAGGTTTCTCCTTTGAGCTCTTCAGCTGTCCTGGTTTAGGATGAATTTGGGACGAAACTCCAAAAGCAGTCCCTCTAGAAAGCAGATTCATGTGGCCCCACCCCCAGCTGATTCAGGGAAATATTTCCTTGGGAAAAAGTTGAAAAAATGGTTCATTTAACAAGAAAATATTCACAAGCATAAAAAATGAAAAAGTATTAAAATTCAGAGAGTCCTTGTTGTGGGGTGTAACTCAGCTCGCTCAGTCTCTCATCATTCCCTCTGGTGCTGGAATGAAGCATCCTGGCCCCAATGGGCCACAGGTGTGAGCTCCCCGGTGTTTTTCTGGGTTTTCAGTCCAGAGCGGGTTTGAACTGTTCCAAGAAAAAGAAAAATCGCAGTCCAGGGAGCTTGTCTGCGTCAGATAACTAAAAACTAACAAAAAGCAAAGGAGAGCTCTGTTCTGCTGTCTGTCCATGCTGCAGACAACACAGTCCAGGAGCAGGAATGTGGAGGAGTGAGTGCAGTTTCTGATAATAAACTGTGCACTGCTTTCTCCCTGCTTCACTCTCAGAACCAGTCTTAAAGGTGCAGAACTTAATATCCAGCATAAACAGAACAGATAATTAGGGAGGAAAGCATCATATAGTCACCCTAAGACATCACCCAAAAGACAAAGAAATTTGGATAAACCTTATGTTGATTAACTTCTATTCATAAAATGTTAGCTTAGAACTCTTCACTATTAACTGGAATTATATAACCAAGCTATTTGAGGGTAAAAACATTTCTAACCCTATGATAATTTATGGAAGATGTAGTAGTGTTTGTAATGGCTTTTTTTCATATTTTTCTTGCAATTTGCTTTCATCTTGTTGATTCTGTTCCCACTGCATTCTTTACAAGACATGTCTTCTGGATGTTGATGTGGCTCTCCTGTGCATGTGCTTGCCGTTCATAAGCTAACCTGCTTAGTAGATTGTATGTCCTGTATTTTTGTAGAGAGAAAAGCGTGAAAATTAGTTAGCATAAAATCTTGTCCTTAAAACATTGCAGAATTGCAACTATGAGAGAACAAAGTGCATTTTAAAATAATAGACTTGGGGGCTTTTCTTCAAGGTGTTAAGTATGGGATCCTGCACTTGGTGGGGGATAACACCCAGTAGCAGCACAGGCTGGGGGCCCACCCACTGGAGATCAGCTCTTCTCGGTAGGACATTTGGGTGCAGGTGGGTTGCAAGTTGACCATCAGCTGGTCATGTGTGTCCTCAGGGCCATGAGAGAAGAGTTATTCTGGGATGCATTGGGAAGAGTGTGGCCAGCAGGTCAGGGAGGTGATCCTACTCCCCTTCTTGCTCTAGTGAGGCACATCTGGAATACTGTGTTCATTTTTGGTTTCCACAGTTGAAGAAAGATAAGGAGCTACTGAAGAGGGCCCAGTGGAGGCCACAGAGATGATGAGGGGTCTGGAGCATCTCTCTTGTGAGGAGAGGTGGGATCTGTGTCTGTTTAGTCTGGAGAAGACTGAGAGGGAATCTCATTAATGCAAATAAACAGCTCCGAGGCAGGTGGAAGGAGGATGGTGACAGAATCTCTTCAGTGGTGCTCAGTGACAGGACAAGGAGCGATGGCCATAGACTAAAACACAGGAAGTTCTACCACAACAAGAACTTCAGGTTGAGGGTGACAGAGCACTGGAACATGTAACCCAGGGAGGTCATGGAGTCTCCTTCTCTGAAGACATTCCAAACTCAACTGGGACTATTTCTGTGTTCCAGGTTGGACTGCAGAAGGGTTGGATGGCAAGGTGGCAGAAAGGTTTGGCTGGATGATCTTCAAAGGTCCCTTCCAGCTCTGACAGTTCTGTGATTCTTAATAAAGGCACTTGTAAATGAATCCTTCATTTCCTTGTAAGGTTTACTTTTCAAAATTTTATCTTAGTGCATAATCTTTTCAATTTTTGAAATGCTGCTGCTACAAAATTAAAATGGCATGGAGGAAGTGTAATCTAAAATTACAGCATTGGCTTCCATGATGCACAGTGATGGGTTATTGTAGCATGACAGAAAGAAATATAGATTGATTATTTGAAATGTTCTTGATGGCAGTAACTGAACTAGTAAACAGAAGTCATGTGTTTTTAACTTAGAATCCCTCTAATTTATGTTCTAAAACCTAAAAATACTTATATTTATTAAATATATTGTCAATGATTAGTCTGTACAAATGAGTAATATGTTCACTCTTGAAAGGTGAAGTTTTATGTTTTAAGGTTTAAACCATATTTTATGTTCATGCAGAGCTACATAAAAAGTGGATTTGACATACGTGTCAAATTACATCCTTCAGCTCAGTTTTAGCTTATTCCCAGCCCAGGGAGAAATTCACCTTTTGGTTGCTGCAGTGTGGGCCTCCACCTTGCATTTTCTCTTCAAGGAGCTGCACAGCTATTGTGGTATTAGCTTGTGGAAACTGTGTGGGAGGGAGAAAGACTTGCATGTTTGTGAGAACCATGTATGTTCGAAGTTGGAAGGGTGGTGGAAGGTCCCAGGGCAGGGTTGGAGGGAGGAGGATCATGTCTATTAGCTCAGTCCAGTTAATTTTGGACTGTGTGCCAGGTACAGGTCAGGAGGGGGTTCAGCCAGGGGAGGGACTAGTGTCAGCAAATCCACATGCAGATGCTAAGTTCGTGTGCTGTGCTTTTGGCAAGTGGTAAGTCTGTAACACCCTAACCATTAAGTAATGTTCTGGACTCATGCAGAACTGAGCACAGTTAAATCCTGAGTTCTGAAATATTTAATGTGCTTCAGTTGTTTAGTGTTAGTGACTCTAGGTATATCCTTTTCTGGTTTGAATTAGTTTTTGTGCATAAACCTTAAATAGAACAAGTTTGATTAAAAGCAAAGGAGGAGTATTTTTAAGTGTGTTGGAAGTCATTCTCAGATTGTAAATAGAGACAACTAAAACAAGGCATTTAAGTATTGCAGCTATATACAGCTATATACAATTTCATCTAAGATGAAATTGTACATATTGTATATATCTAAGATGTCTATATCTAAATTGTATATATCTAAGATGAAATTGTAAAATATAAAATAACTTGAGCAAACAAAACAGAAACAAAACACATTCCAAACCAAACTCCCAACCCAAAACCAAAGAACCAAACAGAACAAAAGATTTAAAAGTCAATATTCAGTTTTAGATGGTGTAAAATGAAATGCATTAGACTACATATTAGAATTCATGATATATATTATTTCTATTTTAAAGTAATCCATTAAAATAGCCCAAAATTACTGAATATTCTAATTTTCACCACTTTTCTTACTCATCAAAATTGTGATAGAAAAATTTATTCCTGCCTCAAGTTAAAATGCTTATATATAATCTTTGTCTTGAACTTATTTATTCTCATAAAACTTGCAGTGTGTACTATGCAGTTTTTCAAAAGCTCTTAAAATTCCTTAAATTGAAAGTTCTATTGGCATGTATTTGTACTGTTTGATAAAGGGAGGAAATTAGTGAATTTGTAGGTGGGGAGGTAACAATACACTTAAACATACTGGGTTTGGCAGATTAGAAAACTATGCTGCGGATGTTGTGGATTGCTTTGCAAAATGAGGTCTAGTAAGCATGTTGGCTGTTCGTATCTGTTTTCTCTAAATTTTGAAGTGACATAGCTACTTGGCTTTATTTTGAATTTCAAAAACTATCACTGTAGTGAGTGAGTTATCTAAGTGCCATTACCAATGCTAGCAGCAGTTCATCGTTCCTAAGATTGTGCTAACTCTACTATTTTGTTTAAGCTGCCCAAAGTTTATTTGTTGCCCTTTTCTTTGTGGTGGCTGAGCAAATTGTCTTTTCAAAACTCCTTGCCATTCATCTTGTTTGGAGTTTGCAGTAAAAATCAAATCAAATAGTTTCGTAAGTAAGTTATCCATCATAGCTTTCTATGTTAAAAAAGGTCATTCTAGATGGATTATACGTTCTAAGAGCTGTTACTTTAAATTTGTTTGGCTGAGAGGTAAGGCCAACATTGATTATTATTTGTTAATCAAACTGTGCCACTGATGCCATTTTTCTAATCTAGGAAAAGCATGTGCATAGTGAGTCTGGTTTCTGTTCTTGAGTTGTTTCCTGTACTCTATGTATGTGGCAAGGGAAGAACAAAACACTTTTGCAAAGTAGGATGGGTAGAATGTTTGAATTCTTTTTTAGAGACTAATTTTTTAAAATAACTCTAGGTACGCTTGATTTGTAATGCATCTATATATAGCACAAGATTAATTTCTCTTAGAAAAAAGCTACCTATATTGAGAGCAATGTTGATAGAAAAATAGGAAATTGTTTTATTTCCCCTAAAGCAGTGTTTGAATTCATACTCTGTTATTTGTTTAAATTGCAGCTCAGAGTGCAGTGATGGAGAATGGCCTACATCTGTGCCTTCCAGTCTTACTGCTGTGGAAAAAGAGCAGTCCTCAAGTGATGAAAGCTGGGAGACTATCTCGAGCAGGGAGGAGCACGACCCTGGTGTGCAGAGGAGCAGCAGGGGTATGAAAGAGGAGAGCACAGACTTCTGTTTCCAAGAGTATGCTTTTATTTTATTGGCTAACTTCCTATAGCTTCTAGCATCACCAGTAGTAGGGTATTCACGTAGCACTGCATAGAATAACATCTAAAAGCAGTTACCGTGCCAGCAACAATCATTTGCCTGCATCACAATAATCTGAGTAGTTGTATGTGTTTCAAATCAAGGAAAATACGGCATTCCATGCAAGCAGTTCTGCGTAATGAAAAATACAGAAACAATGAGAGCATATTGACATGTAGCGTCAATAATAGACTTAATATATTGACTTTAAAAAGTCAGGCAAGTTATTTGTTAAGATATACATGTTACATAAATATCCTTTGATACTGCTTAGGACTCCTTGAAAAGAATTTATTTATTGCTCTGCATTATTACTTCTCCTATTAAACTGGTGCTCATTTTCTGCAGCCCTATCAGTGATTAAAGAAAACTTGAATTTCTTGCTTGCTCTAGTAACTTTAAATTTACTTTATTTTTCCAGTCATTCAATACTTCATAAACTATAGCTGCCTTTGCTTATAAGGCAAAATTTGTAGCTGTATACAGCTAAGAAGCATGTTCTTGGCTTTTTTCCTAAGCATCTAATATTGACTCTAGTTTAAATCTTTATAAAGCAAAGGCCACACCTAAGTGTTCTTTCAGCTTCTTCCACTCTTAGGTGCACAGTACCTATTGCTATGCAGTCCCCTTGGTTGTTAATGCTTTTTTAGTATTCTCCACATTCTTGGGTCTTGAAGAACTAGTGTGACTTTAGGAAAACTTTATAACAACTCATCTCTTTCAAAACAACAATAATGGAGCTGTGTGCTTTTTAATTGTCTTTGATATGAACAGCGTGAAAATGTATGCATCTTTAACATAATCCGTCTTTCTATAAGAAAAGTGGGCCTCACAGCCCCATGACTCTGTATCCAGGTGACTTCTGCTCCTCTAGAATATCCAGGAATGAGAAGAGTCTTTCTCTTGCAAGATAGCTTCTCTTGCAAGTAGTAGCTCTTTACATCACATTCAGGCCAAGCTTTGCCATGGAGGCTGCTCTGGATGTCAAGACCTTTCTCCTTAATGGCTCTAGGAACTTGTAGATAAATAAGAAAATGTTTAGTATGAAATTTATTAACCCTGTCTGTACTAGGGGAAATTAGAAACAAACTTCTTACTGTACTGCTGGCCTTGAGCATTAGACAAAGCTTTGCCACAGAACTGATTCTGAACTCTGGGAACTTCTTGAATTTTTATGGCAAATGCTTAATTCCTAATCTGTGACTCCATAGTCTGGGAAACATGCCTGTTTAGTTTTTGTTATGTTTGGCTTTTGTTGTTTATGTGTGTTTGTAAATTCTCTTAGCTTTTTAGTTTTAGCTTTTCATTTATTTATATAAAGGGAGCAGGCGTTATTGGAGGAAGGTGAAGTTGCTTGGTTACGGTACGAAGAAGACCTGGAAAGTAGCAGTGATGAGGAAAATGGTCCAATTAGTGATTTTGTACGTCTTGGATTCTCCGTGTTGAATGGTAATAACAATCTTGAGGATGACTCCAGTGTGAGTGAAGACCTGGATGAGGAGTGGAGGTATGCATTTGATAGTTGTCTGCTCTCATTTCAGAGGTTTTGTAGTTACTCTTTTCTTTTCTGTGTAAGATGTAAAAAGTACTTATGGCTACCAGTATACACTTGCTTCAAGGACTAATAATCTCAGTTTTATTGTTTAAGGTATTTCAAGTGCTATGTATTTTCTAATGAGAGGAAAAGGAATAGATTTGCTAAATCAGGCTTGATTTGAGAAAATTTTGGTGCCCTAAATATGCAAGGTATGGGTGTATTTTCTAATTTAGTTTTCAAGTGGATGTGTAACACAAATAAGGCAATATGAATGCAATCAGCATTCAAGTCAGTCCTGTTTTATAACTGATCTTTTCCTCCTTTGAAACTGGTGTAAGTTAGTCATTACAAATCTATTTTATTTCTCTTTGAAATGCCATGCACTTACCTAATATTATAATAATTTTGAATGCTTCACTCCATTTTCTGTCATTAGATTACTGAAGGATATTACAATCAATTTATTATAAAAATGCTTCAAATACCAGGAATAAAGTGATTGGAGCTACATACAAAATAGTATAATGTGTTTGTTTTACAATGTGATAGAAGGCTTTACAGTTAGAGACATAACATTTGCTCTCTTCTACTTATTAAAATACAGACTTGAGTGCAGACATAACAACACTGTTGTTTTCTCCTTATGAAGTTATATTGTAGAAAAGTATAAAAGGGACTAATGCATGAGAGTCCAAACTAGAAGTAACGCCTATGTTCTTACACTGTCAGGTGGTAAGCTAGCAGTGGAATTGTGTGACAGGGACAGAAGCTGTCTTTTATGTGTTGGAGGTTAGCCTTGGTAAGCTTCCTAGTTACTAGAAACAGGAACAGAGATGTTGATGGTCTGTTAAGTTTGGTCTGCTGAGCATATGCAGACCTGTACATCATTTCACTTGTGCCTGTTTTAAGATTTAATTTCTGAATTTATAAAACAGAACTAAAAAAAAGACCTGCCAAGCCATGAACTGTGACACATGATGTAGTCAAAATCTGACTGTTAGTTGTAAATCAACCTTAATAGCATACATGTGAAACATATTAGCTGAACTTTTACAGTTTTACAGTAGAAACTCCCATCAGGATGCTCTGAAGTATACACTGTGGGAGTATGGTACCACTGTGCTGGGACCAGAACTGCAGAACTGCCTCTTAGAGGCTGGGTCTGCCCTATGTGGGACACAGCTTGTTCCAGCTGGCTCCAGTGGACCCACCATAGGGTGGGGCCTCTGGAAAGGTGCTAAGAAAGGATAAAAAATGCTGAACAGCAAACAGTGAGAGAGAGAAATTAAGATGATGTGTAAGAAGCAACCGTGCAGACACCAAAGTCAGAAAGAAAGGGGCAGGAAGTGCTCTAGGTGCTGGAGAAGACTGGTGGAACAGGGAGGGACTTGCTAGATGGAAGTGTGTCTGGGGAGAAACCGTGCTGGAGTAGTTGATGAAGGGCTGCAGCTTGTGGGAAAAGCCCATGTAGGATCAGGAAAACAGTGTGAGGAGGAAGTAATTGCAAAGAGGAACTAACCATGGACAGACCACAACCCCTGTTCCTTTCCCTCTGCCCTGCTTGGGATAGGTAAACTAAAGGCCTCAAGGGTGAAGGAGTGACGTTGAGACTGGAAATAAAGAGAGGGCTAAGGGAAAGGTGTTTTAGTTTTTGTCTTTGTTTCTTACCATTCAAATCCATTTTTATTGGCAATAAATTAATAGAATTATAGAGCAGCCTAAATTAAAAAGAAATCTCAAAAGATCATCTGGTTGAACCTTTCAATTAAATTAAGGCTTTTCCTGAATTGAGTGTTTTGTCTGTGGTAGTGATTGATGACTCCTGGCCCTTTTTCTTGACCCATGAGCTTTTTATCTTATTTACATGTCCAGTTGAGGCAAGGGTGGGAGAGATCAGTTGGCTGGGTATCAGGCTTTTATTAACAATTTTATTAACATAATTTGATATATCCAGACTTTTATGTTGTAACTATTTATTTCGAAAATAAGACCATGTTTCCTAACCTTTGTTTTTCAGAGTACTTGATGAGTTTGGTGATGGTCTAGGACTAGCTCAAGCCATTCCTTACATGGAACCTCAATTTATCACATATATGGCACTAGATGGACACTTAGAAGCTGTGGAGGTATTAAAATATTTTTGATCATCTTAAATCTGTGATATTGCGACATAAATATTTATAGTTGAATCATTTTTAACTTAATCTCAAAATCAGGAGAATAAGAGAAAAATGCTTTCCTGTGTTAGCTTGAACTTTTGGGTTGGCAAACATGAAAATACATCTTGAAAAATCTTCTAAAGGGTGTACTACAAGAAGTCATTTATCAGTACCTACTCCTTTTAGTATATGCATTTATTTCCTCGTAAGGCAAAGAAAGTTACTAGTTTCTACCAGTATAAACATATGCCATTTAATTCTAAAGATTTTCGCCAACTTCTCTACATAAGAAAGGAAAGCTTATGCTTGAGTCTATGCTTGTGAGTTGTCCAACTGTTTTGGTGTTTTTTTGGCAAGAGTACATTTGGATTTCTCAAATTTTTATTTACAAGTAGAAAACTCTCCTATGTGTGACTGTCTTACTCTGTGTATTTTAAATTTTAAAAAAATTAAAAAAAAAAACCCACCCAAAAAAAAAAAAAAAAAAAAAAAAAAAAAAAAAAAACCCCTTAAAAAAAAAAAAAAAAAAAAAAAAAAAAAAAGCCTTTTATCTTTACCTTGTTCTATCCCATTTCATCTGTCTAATTTTGGATATAGACCAAAGCATTTATTATCAGGAACCAGCGTGGTTATGGTCTTTGTCTTTTGTTTATTACTTCAGGTTGGTCAATGTCAGAGTGAATACAAAGCTAGGTGTGATCTAGTTTGATGCAGTGTGACAATTCTTGCACTGCCATAAATCTCCCCTGCAGGGTATTTGTCAAAATGAGAGCTAAATAATGTGTAGACATGTCATATGGTGTTATAACAGCTGAACTGAATGTTTTGTAGGTTACGTAAGTTTAGGGCAGCAAGGGGCAATTTGATTGCTAGTATCCACTTTAAAGGGGTGAACCAGGCACTGTATGTCACAGTGTGCTTGCAGACAAAATATCAAGGGCACTTTGAAATGCTCTCTACTGCTGACAGACAGTGGAATAATCATAAATAATGGGGTTTTTTCCATTAAATGTGCAAAGCCAGTGACTTTCTGAATAACATTCCCAGGTCTTTTCCAAGGCAGTGGAAGGGGCCATTCCCATAAGTTGGCAGTCATGCAGTTTCCAGGTTTTGTACGTCCCCCAAGGTATATAGGAGGTCATAATTCATGATCATGTATCACAGGGCCTTCTACAGCTGTGTAGGATCTTGTTAGCATTACTTATTTAGAGACAGTTCATTAATTTGGAGAAGATTTGTTGATATCCTTGTTGTTAAAGCAGTGTTTTGAAGCCATATAGAGAAGATTCTTGTCTCTTTTGTAGTGGGTGGTTCTCACTACATCAGTAAAAACAGAACTGCAAAAACAGTTGACCTCCTTTGCACCAAAGCAAGAAGATCTGTGTAGAGAGGGGAAACTAAAGGGGAAACTAATCCCATCTTTTTTTTTTTTTTTTATCTACACATTAGAACTTGAGAAGGAGACTGAGTTTATTATGACTCCTAAGTTTTCCTTTCTCATTCCTGTATAACAACATTTGCCTAAGTACTGTCAGGAGTAATGTGTGTAGTCCTGTCAGAATGACCTGTACAAGTAATCCTGGATGATTATGTGCATGGCTGGCTAAGGAGGTGCTGTAATTATGTTTGTGTCACCAGGAACAGAGCGTCACTGAACACCATTAGCAAGCAGGCAGAGGAACCGATGGTACAGGACACTGTGAATGTGGAAAAGCTGATTCTCTTATGTAGCATTTGTGCTTGAAAGTAGCACAAAAAGTGAAACTTTATGGTGGGCATAGAAGTCTTGGCATATTTGGAATTAGTCAGCAGAAAGTGATAACTGAGTAATAAAAGGAAGAGTTGTATGGACTGTAATCACATAGACAGCACAGGTTTTGAGTAAGAATTCCAAGTATTTCTTTCAAATCTCAAGCAGAATGTATAGCACATACTTTTACAGTATGTAGTGGTTACTAAAATTGTTCAGAAGATATGAGCAAAATAATTTACTGTTGTTTTGAAATACTTGAAAGGGATATGACACAATAAAGCATCCAAAATTCAAGTGTATCTTAATTGGAGGAGAGGGATTGGGAGATATCTATCACAAATAATTGTGACATTTGGACAGGAGAAGTAATTAAAATATTAGATATTTATTTTGAAAAGCGATGTTGTATAGCTTTTATAGCTCTCTGGGTTTCTAAAACTTAATAGAATATATATGTGATTTTAAATATTATTTTCTTCCATCTGTTATAAAGAAGCTAGATAGCTGGGAGTGTCTGATTTACTTCATTAGCAGTACAGAACAGGCTGGTTGCCTCTGCTGCATCAATTTATCAATTTAAACTTTATAAATATTTCCTGTGGCAATTCACAGACGTGAGGAGCTCAAAGCCTTGTAGGCTGTAGCACTCTTGTTTTTAAAAGAAAAATGTTCAGCATTTTGTTTTTGCTGCATGGAGAAGTAAGCAGTCACACAAGAAATAAGAGGAAGTATAGTTATTTTGAAGATGCATCTTATAAAAGTTATAAAACAGACACTACTTTGCTTTGGATTTGAAAATGTGGCTTTCAGCCTCAGAGTAACTGTGGCTTTGTGTCTATAATGTTTCTTTTGTGTAGGTTTTGGAAGTAAGCAAGCAATACAGTGCTTTCTGTTTGAGAATACTCATGCTGGATATAAACAGAAAAGTTTGACACATAAATAATATTGCAACCTTCTGTATCCCTGGGATCTTATCTAGTTTTTCCAGGTGTAGTAGTTATTCTGCTTAAGCATACCTACTATTTATTCTCAGACCATTGGAACAAAAACCAAATACAAATACTAAAATCATCTAAATGTTAGTAAGGTAGTACAGTCTGCTGTACCAGAATTTGATGGGTATTAGCTGTAAAATTGGAGCAGAGTTTGGTAGGGGAATTTGCACACTGCACTAGGAATAACCCCAGGTTTTCCCTTAAACTGACAAATTTCTTGTTTCAATAGGAGCTGTAAATATTTCTTAGCTCATGCTGATCTCTCTCTGCCACAAAGGTTTGACTGTTATGTATAAAACTGCTAGTTTAGATCTGTGGTAGTGTGGTAGCTTCAGCTGCCTGTTCACTGTGATCCAAGTCCAGGCATGTTTTCAGTTGCAGCTGTAGTAACTTTGGGGAAAGTTTAAGACTGAAGAGGTTTTTGTATAGTCCAGTGTTTCTCTAGTACATAGAGCTTTTTAGTTAAGTGTATTCCCAACATTACAAAAATATCATGCTATCTTACACTTCTTACTAAGAGAATTTTGTGGCCAACAGCGTAAATAATTTTCAAGCTGATTAGAACAGTAAGTAGTTGTACTTAAAGGATGTGACTAATTCGTTCAGGGTGTGAACCCAGTGTTTCTGTGTTCTTGGTTCTTCAGTTTCAATTTGTGTGCTGTTCAAACAGGTAGTACATTTCTGCTGGATATCCTCTCAGTGTCTTACACAGTTGAATGTATGATGTACACAGCAAATGCACACAGCAAATATCATGTAGACTTGTAATCTTAAAGATTCTGTATGGTAAAAAAATTGAGTTTAAAAAAAGTTACTTCAGAGCATTCTATGTGTCTTAAGATTAGAAATATCTACATGGATCTTGGGGTCTTTATTTCTTGAAGTTTACACTCTTAGTATAGCTAAGGTATTTAATATCTTTTGTGTGTGCCGGAATAATTTAATAATTGAAGCAAGGAAACACATTAATGAGGCATTTATTTTCAGAAGCACACTGAAAGCACAGTTTTAGATTGGCAAGCTTTATTACACTTTCAACTTGCTGCTTTTTCTGTAATTTTATAAAATAAACAAATGTTCATTGTAGATTAAGTTGTGACTGTCCTCATATCTAAGAATGCTTTAAAAGCAAGACATTGCTGTTTTGACCTTCAGTTTCATCTCATTCATTACAAAAATAAAAATTAAATGGATAGTTTGACAGGCATATCTTCCATTTTAAGAAGTAATTCTGCTAGAACTGCATTCCTTTTTTTGTTTGTTTGTTTTGTATGAAAAATGTTACATTTGTGAATAATAGAACTTGATTTCTGCTTACCCCTTTCAGTCTGCTCTGGCACAGTTGGCGTCTCTTACTTTTGATGTTGAACAGACTCATCCACCAGCTACAAAAGAAACCATAGATAGTCTGCCACAGATTTTTGTCACAGGTGACTACAATGGTGTAAAAAATAATGTCAAAGTAATTTCTATAAAGTTTGTAAGAATGAGTTCAAGTTTCTCTAATACCATAGATGCAATATTTAAGTATTGCATCATTATGCATTACTGCATAATGCTGTTTTAAGCTTTTTGAATCTGAGTATAATTTTGATCCATTTGGAAAAGTAATCTTTAATGGAGTTACTGTGACTGTACTTTGTAACCATTAGTGATACTGTTGATAATATATCATGTATTTTAATTTGAGCTTATCTTAGATGTAAAACAAGGTATTAATGCTTTTTTCTTCATCATGGGTTTAGGTCAAGAGCAGTGTTGTACTATCTGTTACAGTGAATATGTGGAAGGTGAAATAATAACAGAGCTACCCTGTCATCATTTGTTTCACAGATCTTGTATAACTCTTTGGTTACAGAGAGTAAGTACTACAGGACTGGTGGAGGGTTTAGGGGCAGGGGAGGTTGTGTATATTTTGTATTCTTCTGGGAAGAACAACTTTTAACTCTTTGAAAATGTGGGATGAGATACCAAAAATTTATGAAATATTATTTTAATTTATGCATTATGGAACCAAATTCTTATGCAAGTGAGGGAAAAAATTATATTTGTGCTCACCTAAAGGGCAGTTTCTTTAATAGAGGGAATATTTCTGTAAGGGAAAACATATTTTCCTTCACTAAGAATGAAGGACATGGCTGGGTTATAACTTATTTTGGTACAAGAAAAGCTTTCTTTACTATATTCCTATCTTGTAGTAAAGACAATGGAATCATTTT